GGTCATCGTCGTTTCCTAGATGCTAATGATCCGTTAAGAAAGAGGTTGGACTTTAACGAGATGGAAAAGACAAGACCCGCTCCGAGACACTTTTGTAATGACGACATACAAGAGCAACTAGGTCGTCTAATAACTCGTGAATTGAGTAAACATCATGAGCATGGAGGCGGGGAGCCAAAGTGGCAAGATTACGAGTTGAACTGGTCGATACGAAGCATTTTCTTCGAACTCGAATATTGGTCTTCTCTATAGTTGTAACACAACATAGATTTCATGCATGTCGAGAAAAATGTGGATGAGAGTTTGTTAGGTACTCTTCTAATGAACGATAAAAGAAAAGACACATCAAATGCACGAGAGGACTTGAGAATTCTAAACATTCAAAGAAATGAATGGTTGTAAAAAAATGGTGACAAGTTTCATAGACCCCATGCAAGATACTCTTTCACGAAATCTAGTCGACAACTCTTTTGTCAATTTATAAACGATGCTAAACTATCGGATGGTTTTGGTTCTAACATCAGTAAGAAAGTGAACGATACCAATACTAACATTATTGGGTTGAAATCGCATGACCATCACATTCTTATGCAACGTTTGATACCGATTGGAGTAAGAGGGTTGTTAGACAAAGAAACTTATATACCTATTGTAGACCTTTGTACATTTTTCAAGAAACTTTGTTCCAGAACATTGAAGGTGGAGGATATGAGGAAAGCAAAAGTAGACATTATTGCAATCTTGTGCAAGTTAGAATTGATTTATCCTCCAGTGTTTTTTGACATTATGGTTCATTTACTTTTGCCTTTACCTAATGAAGCGATTTCTAGAGGCCCGGTATGTATGAGGTGGATGTATCCCTTCGAAAGGTATATGTAAAAACTAAAAACCTATGTTAGAAACAAGGCGAGGCCGGAAGGTTCTATAGTTGAGGGTTATGTTGCTGAAGAAGCTTTATCATTTTGTTCGATGTACCTTCGAGATGTAAAGAATCATCCGGAAAGAAATGAAGATGTTTTCATTGAAAAAACAAAGTTTTGGATGTTTGAGTCTAAATGTCGACCGACTAGCACAACTCAAAATAAAACTCTTAAATTAACGGAAATGCATAACATGGAATGGTTTGTATTGAATAGATGTGAAGAAGTCACATAGTATATCAAGTAACTAATCTTATCTCTAACTTTCATCCTTTATTTTTTTTAATCTTTTTAAATCTATATCCTTTGGTCATTAACATAGGAAATTCAAATCTAGACATCCCCAAGGTGATGAAAATAGAGAATTTCGTAATTGGTTCCGTTAAAAGGTAATATAAATTAATAAACAAATTTGTTTCATTGATCTAACGAATACATAATACATGTACTTTATAATTGCTAGGTTCATCAAATAAAAATAGAAAACTCTCCACAATTCCACAAAGAGTTGTCGACTCTTGCAATGGGTCCGTAAATGAATGCTTATTCTTACACCACATGCATAGTCAATGGTGTTAGGTTTATGGTACTTAGTTGTGACGCACAATGTACAACACAAAACTCTGGGGTTTTAGCGGTGGGTGAGAAAGGCAAGAAATATTATGGCCAATTAGAAGAGAATATAGAGTTGAGGTATACACATGATTATTCAACTGTACTATTTCGTTGCAAGTGGTTTGATACTCGAACATGAGTTATTACTAGTGATAATTTCACCAGTATCGACACACGATAGCGAAGCTTACAAAGATGATCAACTCATATATGCTTCACAAGCCAAACAAGTGTTCTACATTAGAGAGCCAAACAATAACCATCGGTATGTTGTCGAGCATGTTAACCATCGAAGTATTTGGGATCTACCATCGAACGATGACCTTATCCAAACTGTTGACAATGGCTCACACCAAAATGTAGACAATGTAGATGTACTTCAAAATATCTCTTCATCCGATGCTCCACTTTTTATCAATTTCAGCATGTACTTCAAAACATTCCTATAGTCATTGTTGATGTATAAAGTGCAACTGAAGTTCCTCCACCAACTAGTAGAGTCAATGATGTTTCTAATTGCGAGACTGATTACGATGAGACCGATTCTGATTATGATACTGAAGAAGACACTGAAGGATATGAGGAAGATTCTAATTAGAATAGTTCCTATGTAATACGTGTTTGTAATATGAACTTTATTTGGATTTTTTGTTTAAATAAAAATGTTTATTCCTATCTAAATGTTTATTTCTATGTAATGTGTATTTGTAATAAAAATTCTATTTGTATATCTTATAATTTTTCAGGAAATGATGATAATATGAATTTTGTTTAGGTATAACATGGCTGTTGTTATAGGTCGTGGACACGGGGGTGATGAAGCTGAGGACCCACCGCTCCTATGTGGTAGAGGTGTTGGTCATCACGAGCAGCACGGTAAGTCTTATTATGAAATTTTATTTACTATTTTTGTTCATCTATTATAAATGAAATACCGTTTCTATTATTTTTAATTACATTTGTAGTTGAGCAACCTACACGAAGGAAAGTTCGAGGCAAAGCGAAAAATATAAAGCTTGAAAAAGCGATCTTACGGAACCAGGGCAAACCGATTAGCATGGAATATGATAGAGATATCACATTTGATCCCGTAGGAGAGTCGAAAGACATGTTTTCCCGAGAAGTTTGAAAAACAATGTGGTACATAAATGGACTTGGAAAAAAGATTCCCCTGCAATACAGGACACCGTATTACCACATTTAGCTGTAATTATTTATTTAAATATATTTATATGGTTAACTATAACTTTTTTTACTTGGTTAACTTTTTTTTTTGTAGACAAAGTTTGATTTGGATCAGATGTACCGAGATGTACAAGCTAACATGTTGACAGAGAGTTTTCAAACAGCTTTGTTAAAAGGTTATCGAAAACGTAAAGTTGACGCAAAAGAATATTTTATGTCAGTCGGAGGGTATGAAGATATCCCGGGAGCATTAGCCAACCCTCCAAAGGGTATGTAAATTGAAAACTGGTAGAAAGCAGTTGAGTATTTCAAAACAGACGAGCACATAATTGCTTCTGAAAGGAACAAAAAAATCCGTGAAATGCAAACAAATATGAATCTTGGGGAGTTGAGCTCATATAGCAGTACTTGCTATAAGAAGGTAATGTACAATACATGTAGTTATTTATTTAAAATATAATCTAATTTTTAAAGTTAAATAGAACCTGAAGAGAGTGGAAACGTTTCCCAAAGCTCATACCGATAAGAATGGTGTATTTGTTGCTGCTGAGGAGGAACAACAATATGTAAGTATTTAATTATAATTTTATCGTATAATTAAATGTTTATTTATACTTAATTGTTACTCACTTTTAGGAGTTACAGAATCGGTTAGTTGAAGAGCTGTTAGAACAAACTCAATGTAAAAGTGAGTTAACACCCGCTCAAGAAAGAGTTGCGTTTGAGAAAGTATTAGGAGAGCGATGTTGCCATATTAGAGGCATTGGTCGTAAACCTTCTACTCTCCCGCCGATTCCACAACCTTCGCAACCATCACCACAACCATCACAACCATCACAGGTACTTCGGTTTTTTGCTTTAGTTTAAAAATAGCAATCTACTTTAGCATCGTAAAATGTATGTTGATTTGGTAATTTTGGTTTTGTGGTGATTATTTGGTAAAAAGTTTGGTAATTAGGTTTTTGTCCCAAGTGCAAAAAATAACAACGTACTTTGGTAATTTTGGTTTTGTGGTGATTATTTAACTTATAAGTTTATATATGTTGTTATTAATTATGTAGTTGGAAAATCTTCGTGCAATGCTGAACGACCCAGCATGTAGGGATGAGCTATATTTTTGTTTTTTCAATCCCAAAATAATCGAGGAAACGATAAGAACGAAGATGATGGTATGTAGGTCATGATGAGTTTTATTTGCATACGTTGTCAGGCTTTACTACTTGGTAAATTGTAAAACTTTGATTGTTTTTTGTAATTATCGGCGACACTAATAGCGGACGATATTATTACTTTTTATATTTAATCGGATATTATGATTTTTGATATTTAATTAATTATAATCGGATGTTTGTTTTGTAATTAGCACCGACACTATTATTTTTGATATTTAATCGAATGTTGTTATGTAATTACCGAGTATATTATAACTGGCAACCAAAATCGTTAATTACAAAAAAAAAAAAAATTAAAAAATGAAAATTGTAATTACCGGCAACACTATTACCGGCAATAGACTTATTAGTGGCGACACACCTCATTACCGGCGACATGGTCATTAGTGGCGACATCTATCATTAGCGGCGACAAGTTCATCAATAGCGAAGAAGTGATAGCAACGATTATTACCGACGACGGGTCGCAACTATTACTATTACCGGCGACAACTTGAATTATTAATGGTGATTTTTGTCGTCGCTAATGATCGTTTTACTTGTGTAATTGATTAGAGATAAACTTTTAAACTTAAAATTGCTTATTCTAGTTTTTGGGACCGAATTTGCAACAATGATTTTAAAAATGTTTAGTTTTTTAAAAGAAATAGGAGAATGTCTCATATGACATTTAATAGATAAAGTTCAACGAGCATTGAATTGTTTTAAGGGAAAATGTAAACTCTTTTAATATAAATTGATTAACAAGTGTATATTATTTTAGAAATGATATATTTTATTGAACTTTTATAATATAATGTATTGTAAAAAGAAAAATTATAAAATTATATGAAAAATGAAATAATCATAATAATGCATATGTTACTTTATAATTAGTATTTTAGAATATTTTATTGTTATGATTATTCTCTTTGTTAAGCTATGTATTGTTTTTAGATTTTATACAACGTCGACAATGCGACGACAATAATAAACTACCTCTAATCATGAACATGAGCAATCAAACATCAAACCTTTCTTTCTGCCGTAACTCAAGTCTCACACCATTCTAATGAGCACTTTCCTTATAAGTACCACAAGACATTCAAACTCTCTTTCTTCAACCAAAATGAGAGTCACCATGAAATCTTCTTCATTAATCAAACCGGCCGAACCAACTTGGACCGGTAGGCTTCCACTATCCGAACTAGACCAGACTGGCATGAACACACATGTTCTTACCATCTATTTCTACACAAAACCTTCTCAGGACTGGGACACTGTCCTACAAACCCTAAAAGCTTCCCTCACCACCACACTTGTTCATTTTTACCCTCTAGCCAGCCGGCTTTCTTCCATTGCCGGTGGTCGCCTGGAGCTGGACTGTAATGCAGCCGGTGTTCAGTTCATCGAAGCTTATTCCGACGTAAAACTGGCTGACTTAGATGATTTTGTGCAATCTCCAATATTCCACCACCTTATTCCTTCCGTAGATTATCGGCATACACCCCTTGAAGAAATCCCATTATTGCTTTTGCAAGCTACAAAATTTGTGTGTGGAGGTTGGTCTTTAGGGTTTTGTATATCACATGTTGTTGTTGATGGGCAAAGTGCACTTCATTTTCTGTCTGAATGGGCTAGACTTTGTCGTGGTGAGCCGCTGGATTCACCACCTCATCTCGATAGAAAATGTTTGCACGCTGGTGAGCCTCCAACCAGATATTCAAGCATCGAACAACATGTACAGTTTCGTCCTCCACCGATCCTTTTAGGTCAATCAAGTAATGTAAATGAACGTACGAAGGAAACCACTGTAGCAATGCTAAAACTAACTGAAACGCTTGTCGAAAAACTACGAAATAAAGCTAACAAAAGCCTGAAAACTGAAACGGAGCGTGGGTTTACACGGTACGAGGTTGTAACTGCACATGCATGGCGAACAGCATGCAAGGCTCGTAATCTACAACCTGACCAGCCAACTGCAGTAGGCATATGTATTGATGTTCGAACCAGAATGAACCCGCCGTTGCCGGAAAAGTACTTTGGAAACGCCATTATAGACGTGATTGCCACTGGGACTTCCGGTGAGTTACTTTCGGAGACATTAGGGTATGTTTCAAATAAGATAAGGGACTCGATCGAGAAGGTTAACGATGAGTATGTCAATTCAGTGATTGATTTCTTGAAAAATCAAGAAGATTTATCAAAGTTCCAAGATTTGCAACGATCCGAGGACGGTGAAGGGCCGTTTTACGGGAATCCGAATCTGGGAGTTGTAAGCTGGTTAACACTGCCGATGTATGGTGTTGATTTCGGTTGGGGGAAGGAATTATTTACAGGTCCAGGAACCGATGATGCTGATGATGGTGACTTTTTAATTCTACGAGGGGAAGAGGGAGGTGGATCTATGGTTGTAGCATTGTGTTTGCAAGTGAGACACATGGATGATTTCAAAAGGGTGTTCTATCAAAGCATTGAAGATTGAAATTACTTCTTTATTCCATTTTATTATATTTGTTTGGAAACATATTTTTTACTAAAAGTTTAAAATATTTTAATAATAATAATAATAAAAGAAAAAAAATTACGAAAAAAATAAATTGTTTTTAACGCAAGAATTCAGGTAGAAGCTAGACTAAATGACTAATTACAAAGAGGGTAATTAGCAATTTTGTGAGTAACATTCAAGATTTAGCCACCGAGGTGAAACTTTGGGTTTTCAACAAGATCAAAATTAGATGTAGAAAGGAAAAATTGTTGAATGGGTAGACTTGAAAATTAGATGGAGAAAGGAAAATTTGTTGAATGGATAGACTTGGTGTAATTGTCCGACAAGAGAATCTTTGAACTTGTTGTAATTTTAGCTTCTAGCTAGCCCGGTTTCTTAGGAAATCTTCTTGTTGTTAAGAAAAAGTTACAAAGAGGGTATAACGGGTTATCATTTATCAACCCATAAATACAAGATTAATTCCGCAAGAATTTACGGTAAAAGTTAAATTACCCACTCACATACATATTAAGGAAATGTTTGGAAACATTAGTTTGGTAGTTAGGTAGTAAGGTGTAATTGAGTAGAGTATGGACTTCCAAGTTTGAAATTCGGCTCTATTAAAAACTCAACTTCTATCCTTAAATTCAAGCTCGGGTTCGAGCTTGATAAAGTAATCGACACTTTTGAGCTTAACTCAAACCTTAAATTCAAGCTCGGACTTGAGCTTGATAAAGTATATACTCGATTTGGTTAGTTATTAAATAAACAAAATTACATTAAATTGCAATAGAAAAAATAATTACGCTCATGAACACAGTTCGAGTCGATTCGATTATGTAAAATTTGAATTAAATAAAGGATATAATATAAATATAATTAAGCTCGTCTTGAACCGAATCAATTTCAAGTATTTTTTGATTCGGTTTCTAGTATCTCATAATTCGTTTAACATGATTGCACCCCTCGTTAGTAGTTGGCAGCTTGTAGCTAATAGCTGAAAGTTCGAAGTTTTAGTTTTTATTTGTCTAGAAAGGTTTGGCAAAAGTAGTTATATGCTTTTATAATATGTAAAATGATAAACAACATAAAAGCTAAAAGCTAAAACTTTTCAAAAGCTACATGAAATAGCTTTTGTACTATGAGTTTTTTGTTTGAATTAAAATCTTTAAGCTATTACCCCAAAACAAAGTTTTGTCTTTAATTCAAGCTTCTTTGTAACATCCCAAAAACAAGGTAAAATTATCATTTTTAAAAAATCAAACCACAAACCATAAATGTTTACAAAACTTAGTTTCCAAAAGTCAAAATCACAAATCAGAGTATCCCAAAATCAAATCTCATAAAAACTCAAGGATTTACAAGATCAAGCCTTCGATCATCTAAAATACTTGAAACATAAAACTTATATTGTAAGCTAAAACTTAGTGAGTTCCCCCAAAGTACCTACACAACCAAACAGATAACATCATACATATATGAGCCTTCAGCCTGACTAGACCACCTCGTAGGGCCTACAACCTATATGGACCACTCTCAGGGACTTCGGCCTAACCAGTCTACCTCTCGGGCCTTTAACCTGTCCAGACCGCCCGATGTATCTTAGTCTTCAACACAAAGCATAATCGCCTCAAGCTAACAAACCATAACATGTCGACATACACAATAACAATCAATAACCAGCAAGTACATATAATCAAACTGGTCTACCAATCTAACACATAGTTAGTGAATACATGTAATCATACATATCCACTTGTTGATCGTATAACTAGCACAACATCAATCAAATATACTAGGATGCATAATCCATTAGGTAGGTATTGGTGCATTCGACCTACAAGTACAGTGAGGAAAAACTCACCTCACAGTCTGAAATGTATTTAACCAAATCACAACTCCAACTGTTGATTCTACAGGTCACCTATACATCAAGCAGCGACCTAATATCAAACTACTGTTTATGTAACATCTTGATTTCCCAGGTATATTATTTTATTTAATTATTTTGGAGTTTGAGGGGAACTCGGCGAGTTGGAGCCAAGACTCGCTGAGTAGGGTCGCGGATGTTCATCCGGGTTCACGTCCGGACTCCGCGAGTCCATTAGTAGACTTGGCGAGTCCACGTTGTTTAATGAAACCCTAATCCCCCGGGTTTGGAGCCTATTTAAGGGCACTTATAGCCTCCCATTACGACTACCAGTCCTTTGAGAGAGCCCTAAGTGAGCCAAATCGTTGTGAGGGAGAAGAAGTCACTTTTTGATCCTTAAACCCTTGGTTTAGCAAGACGAAGGTGACAAGAGCAAAGAGGAGGTGCGATTCAAGCAGTTCTAGAGTTCAGAGACATCATTTTGAGGTAATTGTTCGAACCTCCTTCAGTTTTGGTGTTGATCATTAGATTTAGGGTTTTCTAACCCCTTTGGAGAGTGATTATGTGGAGCAAATGGTCCCTCTTCGAGTTTGTGCCTTGGATCTGGACTCAAAGAGGTCCAGAGACCTTGACCATTGGAGCTTTATGGACCAGTTTGGGGTTATTGGCCTTAGGTTGCCATTTTTGGGACTAAATCTCCTTTTGATGCCTTGTTGTGGCTATCCAAGCATCAAGTTTCGAACTTTACGTGACATTCATGCTTGGGGAGGCCATATCTATGGTTTGGGGAAACAGATCTGACCTCAGGAGGTCAGTAGAGTTTGTGCATGGCATGAACTTGCCGAGTTGTTCTTGAGACTGGGTGAGTAGGGTTAGGGTTTCACATAAATTGCTCAATGAATAGACTTGCCGAGTTGGGGGATGACTCAGTGAGTCAGGAGGGGGTTAGAGGACTGGAGTTCATGGCGGTACTCGCCGAGTTGTTCTTGAGACTTGGCGAGTTGAGTTGGGGTGGCCCCGTGATTCCTATCTAGTATGACTCGTCGAGCATTGGGAGGGACTCTACGTACCAAGCGGGACAAAGAGTTACTGGACATGTGTGTACTCACCGAGTCACCGGAGTGCACTCGGCAAGTTGGGTCAAAGTTTGACCATTAACTTTTGTAGACTTTTAGGGTTTGGTCAGCAATGTGGCCTTTGGGCCAAGAAGGGGGTAAAATGGTCTGTTACCCTTAAGAGGGTGCCAAGAGAGGATTGAGTCTAGTCTCGAGAGTTATGTTCAAGAGAGCATTTGCCTTATGTGATAGATGGTGGAGACTTCGAGATGCAAGCATGAGGATATCTGCTTCCTGCTTGCCAGATGAGTCTTCTTACTATACTTTACCTTGAGTAGGTAACCAGAGTTATGTGACAGAGGATTTGTATGCTATGTATGTTATGTGTTGTACTGCATTAATTCTATGTGATTTATGATGTGCATGTTTACAGAGTTAGAACCGGAAGGTTCCCAGAGTTAGAACCGGAGGGTTCACAGAGTTAGAACCGGAAGGTTCACAGAGTATGGTCCACGGAACCACAGAGTTATAGCCTCGAGTGGCTAATATGTGTTATGTGTGGTATTTTGGGGAATTCACTAAGCTTCGTGCTTATAGTGTTTTGTGTTATGTGTTTCAGGTTTCTCTAAGGATCACGGGACTGCACCGGCTGGATTGTACACACTAGAGAAAGAGTCATATTTTGAGGATACTGGTTTATTATGCAAGTGAAAATGGAGTTATGTTTTGTAATTTGATTATAAATGAGATTTTAAGAAAAGTGTTTTTAAGAATTAAACCATTATATTTAAATGAACATTTGTTTTGAAATTTACAGTGTTACAAGTTGGTATCAGAGCCTTGGTTTGAGGGATTCGGATGCACCTTCGGGTAAATCTGGACTCAAACTGAGGAAGTAAGAAAAGTTTTCAAAGAAATAATTTTCTAAAGCGAATAAGAGTTCAAAGAGAAAGCGAGAAAGAGTAGTGTGTACAATCAGCCAGAGCCCGAACGGTGATTTCCTAAAATACCATTATTTTTGTGTTATGAGATATTTATGATGCACTTTATGAGATATTATTGCATGCTAGAGACAGGCTAGGTATTTCATATCTTAGGACTAGAGTGGCCTGATTTGTGATGCCTTAGCCTAGGAATTGCTGTTATATGCGATGTGCTTTTGAGTATGTGATAAGTGAGAATATTTAGTTGGAATCCTTTAGGGGATTTGAGTAGATGAGTAATCTAGGGGAGATACCTAGATGAGTACAGTGGTACTTAGCGAAAGAATAGTTAGAACCCGTGAGGGGAAGAGTTGTAGAGTTCGGTGGTACTTTCGAGGATGAGTAGAGCAAGTGGATTTATCACCCAGAGTAAGTCCTATGTATTCTTCGATGCTTGAATGCTGCTTGCTTCGTGGTTCGTGGAACTCTCGATGATGGGAGTCACCTACCAAGCAAATATGACGATATTCAGGAGGTAGATGGCTGGCATCATTAGGAGCTCTTCAGCAGCTGATGACAGAGAAGTGTGGGAATCTATGAAGAGCCTAGGGAGTAACCTTAGCAAGATGAGTGCGCTGGCAGAGTAGATAATCTCACTGGGGAGCGAGCACGCGCGACGAAGTTGGTGAACGAGAAGGTCGAGCAGCTACTTAGGAGCTCCAGGATAGTCCGTGTGGAAAGTATGGGTAGATGTGGAAGATAGTATGGGCCCGTACTACTGAAAGCAAAGGACCCATACTTGATACAGGTAGTATTATGAAGGTTCTAATGAGCAGATTGAGGAGTGATGTTATTGTTTGAGTACCATACATCAGAGCAGATTGAGGAGTGATGTTATGGTTCGAGTACCATACATTGGAGCAGATGGAGGAGTGATGTTATGGTTCGAGTACCATACATCGGAGCGGATTGAGGAGTGATGTTATGATTCGAGTACCATACATCGGAGCGGATCGAGGAGTGAAGTTATGGTTCGATTACCATACATCGGAGCGGATGGAGGAGTGATGATATGGTTCGAGTACCATACATCGGAGCAGATGGAGGAGTTATGCTATGGTTCGTGTACCATACACCAGAGCATATTGA